CCCCCCCCGTCATTTCGACAGCCACTTCACCCCCCAGCTCCGTGTCGGCTACTGCCACCCCCCTATTCTATATGGCCCTTTATCTTCGAACTCGCTACCACTGTAAAATTTCCCCGTCGCGTTTTAATTAAGACCATGCCTCGCGGCACGCACATAATTGACTGGGTGTCAGCGTGGATGCTGCGTGAAGAAGATGCGCCTCCCGTTTACTCTCCCCCTACCCTCCACCCACGACTTTTTCGGTTCTACCGGGTTGTTCGGTTATTACTCGCCAGAGACGAAGCACAACTCAAGTTTCTGAATACACAACCAAAAGCATTATAAGGTATAAAGGAAACAGTCTGGTTTCACTGACAAAGGAAAAAGAAAAGCCCAAATCGAGAAGTTCCTGGAAGACTGCTAAATGAGATGTAGTCAAAGTAGAGTGGTATGAAATTTTAAAGAGAATGAAATAAGGAAAAATTTCGGCCGTGGAAGCGCCCTCGAACGAAATTTTATGAAAATTCGTTTTCGAAACGAGACGCTTCTTAAATTTTTAATACTTTGAGACATTCTTCTGACGCGAATTGTACCGCGAATACGTACATTTGGACGGGTGACCTTAAATTCTTTACTCGTACTCTGCTCGTTCGAGGAAACATCGAGGTTTACACATTATCGGTCCAACACTCGGCTTATCTTTAGACTGGCTATTTTTGTGCGCGACCTATCGGATTGTCGGAATTATTTGGTCGATGCGAATTATTTGGAACGTAGCTCAGACGAATCTTGAGACTTTGTCAAACTATTTCATTCACTACATAAATCCTACGCGTGGTAACAAGCTGGATGATTCGCTACGGAGGGTGGAAAAGTGGTTAAGCGTGTACTCGTGTGAAAATGGAAGTTTTCGTCACGTGTCACTTGAAACAAATAACAATGAAACGTCAGTTATAAGACAGAGCTCAGTTGTCCGAAAAGCCTCAAAGTCTAAAAGCCCTTCGCATACAAAATAACGTAACGACGTAAGACGTAAGCGTAAGGAAAGCAACCAATCAGACTCTAGTACTGTCCACTTGGAGGGGAGAGTACTGGATTCTGATTGGTTGGTTTCCTTACGCTCAAGTCTCACGTCGTTACGTTATTTTGTGTGTGAAGGGCTTAAAGCATAATAGCCCAACCATTGAAACATGTTCCGTTAGGATCTTCAGGCCCTGCGAATAATTCACAATAGCGAGGGATAAAAATGAAAGAGCTGAATATAAAAAATTACTTTTAACTCGCATTCGGCACCGCAATTGACAGCGATAATGGCCTCTTATTGGGAGGACAATGAATAATCGTTTTTCCACGTTTCTTTAGCGAGTTACAGGTACGTTCTCCGTGGGCCGAATTCGGGCCATTGTCAGTTTTTGGCAGGAAGGACAAGGGACGTCAGCAGCATTTCTCTTTTTGAGTTCTATGACAAAGGAAAATTTGAGAAACTCCGACAGCGTGACGAGACGGGACAAGGATTCGAAGTGGAGAATTTATATCGAACTAAGCCACAGTTATTTCTTGCAGGATAATTGTCTGATTATTCGTACAGGTTTCTATAGCAATAAAGAGAAGTATCTGACAAGACTAATCTTATCCTTAAGCAGCTGTCCAGACGCGGACAGACTCGTATCTGGTCACGCCAAGGCAGCTTGGCCAGGAGTTCATTCGAATTAAACGGGAAGCCGTCTCAGAGACACAGAAAGCTAATGCTCGGTTCACATTATCGCACGAAGATGGGTTCATGCGATTGTACGAACGTCGCTCGACATTAACGTTTCCATCTAACCCACGAGACCATGGCTGGTCGGCTGGCTGGCAGCTGGTCGACTGAATCGTCGACACACCGAGTAACCGGGAGACGCACGACATGTGCTTTC